TTGCTCGCTCTTGCCGCCAGACAATTAGCGATGTCGTCACCGGCTTGCCAGAGCGCGCGTGCGGACTGCCTCTGCCGCGCTGCGACGTACAAAAAATTAATGCCCCCCTGCCCCGTTGGGACGCTTGGGATGGCCACGGCGTGCCTTGCTGGTCCGCTTTGGCTGCGGTATTGTAGGTTCACGTCGTGTCGACTGGCGACTCGGCGAGGCTGAGGCCGCCAGCGCCGCCCTGGAAGACATACACAATCTGAGCCGGCTTCCCCCTCCTCTCCTCTCCTCCTCCTCTTCCTCCTCCTCATCCTCCTCCTCCTCCTCCTCCTCCTCCTCCTTCGCCATCCTCCTCCTCCTCCTCCTCCTCCTCCTCCTCCTCCTCCTCCTCTCCTCCTCCTCCTCCTCCTCCTCCTCCTCCTCCTCCTCCTCCTCTGCCTCCGCCTCCTCCTCCTCCTCCTCCTCCTCCTCCTCCCCTTCTCCTTCGCCATCCTCCTCGCTCCTCCTCCTCCTCCTCCTCCTCCTCCTCCCTCCTCCTCCTCTCCTCCTCCTCCTCCTCCTCCTCCTCCTCCTCCTCCTCCTCCTCTCCTCCTCCTATCCTCATCCTCATCCTCAATCCTCCTCCTCCCCTCCTCCTCCTCCTCCTCCTCCTCCTCCTCCTCCTCCTCCTCCTCCCCTCCTCCTCCTCCTCTCCTCCTCCTCCTCCTCCTCCTCCTCCTCCTCCTCTTTCTCTCTTCCCCTCCTCTCCTCTCCTCCCTCCGCGGCCGCCTCTCCTTCGGAGCCACCTGCATAGGTACAGTTCGCTACCGCGCCTCCCGCTGTAGCTTTGATCCAGGACGAGCAGTACTGCCCCCCCCTTGGGCCACCCACCCTTGCTGCAACCTCCAGCTGATTCACAAAATCCACCTCCACTTGCCACGCCCCTTCGCTGTCCGCCTCCCTCCCTTCCTGCCGTTGCTCGGGCGCCACCTCTTCCTCCTGTGCACACAACTCCCCTTTCTCCGACTGCGCATGCCACGAAGTGGTCTTTCTGTGGGAGTCGAGGGTCGGCTCTGTCACGCGTCCGCGGATAGTACTGAAAAATCAGCACCACGGGAAGGAAGGGGAGGGAGGGAAAAGGCGTCAGATGAGGCGCGAGCGCGCCTAGCGTGGCTCCCTCCCTCTCCCTCCCTCCCTCCCTCCCTCCCTCCTCTTTCCCCCCTCTGCCCTCCCTCCCGCCCCTCCCTTCTGGCCAAGCCTCGGTGCGGTGGTGAAGGGACGCGGGCGCCCTGTCGCCGTCTCGTCGCCGGCCACCTCAAGCCCACCCCGCCCCTCCTTGAGCCTCTCGCTGGCGGACGTCCCCCTCTCCGTGCGCGGAAGGCGCGCTCGCCCCCCTGCCCGGCAGGTGCTGGAGCGAGAGGCGAGGGAGAGGGCAGAGGCGGGGAGGGGCCACGGCGCTCCGCCCCCGCGCCGGCCGCGGCATGCCTCGGCGAGTGTGCCGGGCGGCCGCAGGCCGCTGAGTTGGGCGGAGCTGGCTCCGCGCCCCGCCTGTCGACAGCACGTCGGCGCGGCCCTCTGCCAGGGTGGCCGTCCTGGTGCGGGCCCAGCGGCGCCCCCGGGTCGCCGGAGAGCGCGCGGCAGCGACGGCCTGCGCGCTCGGGCCTGGGCCCGGGCCGCCCGCGCCCCCCCCCCCCCCGGAGCCGCGCCCCGAAGGCCACTCCTGCCTGTGGTCACTCATTGCGTGTGGCTCCTCCTCCGTCCCACTTCCCTCCTCCTCTTCCTCCTCCTCCTCCTCCTCCTCCTCCTCCTCCTCCTCCTCCTCCTCCTCCTCCTCCTCCTCCTCCTCCTCCTCCTCCTCCTCCTCCTCCCCCTCCGCCACGGCCCCGGGGAGCTTGGTGGAACCAACGATGGCATAAGCACCGAAACTTTGGGGTCCGCGCGGACTTCTCGGATCGGCGCTGGACCCCCCCATCCCCGGCGGCAGCGCCGATCCGAGATGCCCGCGCGGACCTCTGGAAGTTGATGTTGATGTCACTGTTTGTTCTCCTGCAGTCGAAACCGATGATCAGGAGAGGGAACCTTCCCGCGGGGACCCTTGCATCCTGGCCTCTCCGGGCTTTCCTTAACCGGACCCCCTTCGATGGCCCGCCGCGCTCGAAAAAGCTTCAGCACGGTCGCCCAAGGGGCTTGCATCCTTATCGCGCATCTTAACTCTCAGATTTCACTGTAATCCCTCCTCTCCCTCCCCAGACCCCCAACGTTGTGACTTTTTCACAACGTCGACCCCAGGAGGTCTGCACCCCTTCCCCGGGACGGGTGTTTCATCCCGAATCGTTTTTTGACGGTCCCGAGGCCCGGCAGGGGCCCCCAGAGGCGGAAAATGGCGAAAAACCTCCTTGCGTGATTTTTTCACGACGCGAGGGGGTCCGGGTCCCCCGCCGCGGCCGCGCGCGTAGGCCCCAAGATGGGACCTGGCACCCCGCCGCCGGGGAGCCCCTCCGGGCGGCAGCCCTGGGGGGGTTGGGGGGCTCCCTCCGCCGCGCTCGCCCAGGAAGCCGCCGTGTCCAGGCGCGGCGGGGGCCTCGGGCTCGGCCTCGCCGAGGCCTCCCCCCCTCGGGGGCGGCCCGCCCCGAGGGGGGTGATGGCCACGGGGGGGGTGAACATCGGGCTCGACCTCGCCGAGGCCTCCCCCCACTCGGGGGCGGCCCGCCCCGAGGGGGGTGATGGCCACGGGGGGGGGGGGAACATCGTGCCAGGGTGTCTCCCATCTGGACGCCCGAGATGGGCACGGAAAGAATGGGTACGATGCCCAACAGCAGTTCCTGTTCATTCTGAACGGGATTCGCTGTCCACGCCGCCGCGGCCTGTGTCCATTCGAGACAGAAGGCCGCCTGCCCAACAGCGGCCGCCGTTGGTTTGGGACAACATTTGTTGTTGGGCATGGTACCCATTCTTTCGGTACCCATTTCGGGTGTCCAAATCCCAGATCTCCTGGCCCCCTCTTTCTCTTTCCAGGGCGTCCCTCGCCTCCCCCCCATCGTGCCAGGGTGTCTCCCAGATCTCCTGGCCCCCTCCTCCTCTTTCCAAGGCGTCCCTCGCCTCCCCCCCATCGTGCCAGGGTGTCTCCCAGATCTCCTGGCCCCCTCCTTCTCTCTCCAGGGTGTCCCTCGCCTCCCCCCCCCCGTATCTCCTGGCCCCCTCTTTCCCTTTCCAGGGCGTCCCTCGCCTCCCCCCCCCCCCCCCCGTCCGCGCCCTCGGCTATAGGGCCACGATCTTTGCGAGCCTCCCTCGCGGACGCCCCCCTCTCTCGGGGCGCCCTCGGCGCCCCGTGCCCCGTGGCGGTGCCCTCGGGTCGGGCCTGTGGCGAGGAGGCCCTGTCGGTCGGTGTGCGTTGCCACTGGTCCTGCGACTCCTCCTCCTCCTCCCCTCCTCCTCCTCCTCCTCCTCCTCCTCCCCCTCCTCCTCCCCCTCCTCCTCCCCCTCCTCCTCCTCCTCCTCCTCCTCCTCCTCCTCCTCCTCCTCCTCCTCCTCCTCCTCCTCCTCCTCCTCCCCGTCGCCCCCATGCCGGCCGGCCCTGCCGCGAGGTGTGGGCCTGTGGTTCCCATCCACATCTCGGGCGCCTCCCAGTCCATTTGCGGGAGCTCAGACCTCCTCGAGTCGTGAAAAAATCACGACGGGAGGTGTTTCGCTATTTTCAGCCTCTGAGGGCCCTCACCGGGCCTCGGGACCGTCAAAAAACGACTCGGGATGAAAAACCGGTCCTGGGGAATGGGTGTGGACCTCTGGGGGTCGCGTCATGAAAAAATCATGACGTCGGGGGTCTGGGTTTCGGGCGCCTCCCAGTCCATTTGCGGGAGTGTGGGGGTGAGAGCATCCCCCACGCCGCTCAACTTGTTGGCAGGATCAGGGATGAACCCTTTTCCCTGCCAGCCTCCGGCCCATTCTCCCCGGTGGGGGCCTGACATCTCCTCTGGAGGTGAGGTGGCATGTAGCAGCCAAAAACATGATAAGAAAACACCTTGCCGAACCGACTGGCGCAATGCCTTCTCCTTCGGTCCGAGAGGGCCTCGCGGCCCCAACTCCTGCGGGCCCCTGCGCCCTGCGGGGGACTGGCCCCAGGTCGTCTCTGCCGAGGGGCGCTTGGATAAAGGGGGTTCGCCCTCCCGCCCTCCCGTAGATGGACAAAAGAGTGGAACCCTTGACACCGCGCTCCCCCCTCCCCCCATTTCAAAGTTGGCCCCAAGCAGCCAGCAGCACAGGCGTGAGAGGACAAGAAAAGTGGAACCCCAAGGGCTTCCGGGAGGCCGAAGCCACCTTTGAAATTGGGGGAAGGGGGTTGGGCGAACGCGGGGTCGAAGACGAAGAGCTTCCACTTTGTTGTCCCCTTGACGCCCCTCCCTCCCTCCCTCCCTCCCACCATTGAGGCCCGACGTTGCGACAAAAATAGAGCACTGCGGAAAAGCACGACGGGAGCCCCAGACCGGATCTTCCTCCTGCATGTTTCGAGCCCGATAGATATGTGAGGGCCCCGGGGCCCGAAATTTGGCGAAAGCACCCAGTGCGAGAAGATAGCAACACGTCCGGATCTCGGGCTCCCTCTGTTCCTCAGGAGTTGGCCCCCCTGCTTCCCGCTCCCGCTGCTCTCCACCGGGGGCGCTGCCGACGGGGCCGCGACACACAGGGGGGGGCGGACGCGCGCGGCTCCAGGCCCGCTCCCGCGCGCGAGCCCCGGGCGGCCGCGGGCACGAGGCCGCAGGAAGCCGGCGTCCGTGGCCGTGGTGGCTCGAGCCGTCCCTGGCCCGAGCGCGCCTCCGCCTCCGCGCGGCCTCGCCCGCGCCCCGGGCCCGCCCATGGCGCCCCCGCGCCCTCGCCGCCGGCGTGGCCGCCGCGGGGCGCCCTGGCGCGCCTGCCTGCTGCTGGGCGCCGCGTGCCGCGCGCTGTGGCGCGGCCCGGGCGGCGTGCCGGCGCGCTCTGCGCGGGCCTCGTCGGCCGGGCGCCCGCGGGCCGCGGCGGTCGCGCGCGGGCGGGCGCCGGCCGGGCGGCGGCGCCCGGCGGCGGCGGGCGGCGGCCGCCGAGGGAGGGGGGCGAGCAGCGGCACGCCGACTACATGGCGGGCATCCGCGAGCTCGCCGTGGAGGCGCTGCGGTGGCCGCACCTGGCGCCCTGGCAGCGCCTCGAGTGGGCGGCGGCGCTGCGGTACGACGCCGTGCCAGTGAAGGAGCTGCCGCCCTGGTGGCTGGCTCCGAGGAGCCTGACGCGCAGGGACATCGGCGTGGACCTGGTGAGCCTGGACGGGGAGCGGGCGGTGCAGTGCAAGTGCTGCAACGGCACCGTGCAGACGAAGGACGTCACCCACTTCATATGCACGGCGCAGAACGTGTTCAGGGCGTCCGAGATCATCCTGGCGACGTCCGAGACCTCCCGCCTGACCAGCGGCGCAGCAATGGTCGTTGAGTCTGTTGGCGTGAGGCACGACGTTTTGCCGAGCACTGTCATCGATGAGCTACTGTCCAGCACTGCAGCAGCGCTCCCACCGCCTCAGCGGGACTGCCTAGCGGCTGCCCCGCTCAGACCATGTCAGCGAGATTGCATCCGTGCCTGCAGGGCTGGAGCCCGCATCATCGAGATGGCATGCGGCACGGGCAAGACGCTTGTGATGCGAAGACTGGCCGATACTGCTTCAGGCCGCGTCCTGGTGTCGGTCCCGTCCCTCGCTCTGCTCTGGCAGCATATTGCGACATTTCCTGAATTCTGCCCCGTTGGGACCAGGTATAACACGAAGATCGCGTGGGATGCGCCAGGATACATTAGTGTGACCGACTCTGTGCACCTCCTGGGAAACATCCACTTTTCTGATATATTTGTCGACGAGGCTCATCATCCTTTGCCGCCGATGTTCCCGAAGGGCGACAATACATATTGCGAAGGCCTTCTGGCCGGTGCCGCTGACCCAGAAGGGGGACGTCGACGACGACGGCGGCGGTGGCGGCAGCGACGACGACAACGCTAACGTGGGCCCGAGTCATCTGGGATGCTTCTCGGGTTCTCTTGGGAAGGATCTCGGGGGTCTATGGGGAGGAATTTTGGGGTCTCTTGGGAGCCTATTGGCAGCCTCTTGGGGGCCTTTTCGGGCGTCCTGGGGGCATCTTGTGGGCTTCTTGGGGCCTCTTGGGAACCTCTCAGGGCCTCCTGGGAGCTTCTCGGGGCCGAGGGCCCGAAATGTCCGTTCGGGTTCCTCGTCAAGGCACGCTCTTGGAACCTTCTTGGGGGCCACTTGGGCCGTCTTGGGGGCGTTTGGGGCTGTCTTGGGGGTTCTCTTGTGATGTTTCGGAGCGCTCTTGGAAGCTTCTTGGGCCGTCTCGGGGCGATCTTGAGGCCCCCTTTGGCCGTCTTGGAGCGGCGGGAAGCGGACAAGGCGAGAACGCCGAAATGTGTCAAAAACCTAAGGAAAATTAATGATGTTTGCCTCTTGGGGCCTTCTCGGGAGTGCCTTAGGAGGCCTCCCGGGGCGTCTTGGAGGTCTCCTGGGCGGTCTGGGAGCGTGAAGGCGTTTTGGACCGATCGCTTGGTGATTGGGGGCCCTCTGGGACCGTCTCGGGGGCCTCTTGGGGCACTCTTGGCTTGTTTTAGTACTTTCTGCAGCCCCGCGACCCAGAGCCGTCTCGGAGGAGTCTCTTGGGGCACTCTCGGCTTGTTTTGGTACTTTTTGCAGCCCCGCGACCACCAGGGGGGGGGCGCGTATCTGACCACACCCGACAGGGGAGGGATCAAAGGGAAGGGGCTTCCCTTCGGTTCGATTACGACATTGCGAGATGTTCTTTCGCTGACAGGCTTGAGGAGGGCGCAGGGAAAGGGGGCGACACAGACGACGACTGACGGAGACGACGACTCGAGCAGACAAACCCGCTCGCACACGCCGACAGGGTCGGCGGATTTTTTCTCAGCAACGCATAAGGCATGTCCCGACCACTCTTATGGAATGGGCCAGGCGATCGATGATGGTGTGTTGTGTGATTACGACTTGGTTGTGCCAGTGGTGGATGATGAGGAGACTACGTTCGCTGCTCTCGCGGGCCTGCTCCTTACGAAGGTGGGGCATTTCCGGCGCGTCCTTGCATACTGCAATTCGATAGACGAGGCTCTCCTCTTCAAGAACGAGGTGGCGAAGCTTGGACTGGTTGCCTGGCACATTAACGGCGAGACTCCACGCGCGGAGCGCCAGCGAGTGTTGAAAGCATTCTCCCGCCCTCTTCAGGGTCCTGCCCACGTGCTTGTGACGGTGCAGGTTCTGGGCGAGGGGATTAACATTGGGAGCGCCGATACGTGTTTGTTCGTGCAGCCCCGGCGCAGCTACGTCAGCATTGTGCAAGCCGTGGGCCGAGTCCTTAGATTGCACCCCAGCAAGCCGCTGGCGCATGTTATCCTTCCAGCGGTGACACCTCGCCACAGTGGCCAGGAGCAGCCGCTCGGCACCCAAGACGCGCACGGGGAAGCCCACGGTGACCCCGCAGAAACAGAGGCCGAGGCGCTCGGCAACGCTCCGTCCGTGGGCACCGCTGTGTCCAAGTCAACACCTTCTGCCACCAGCTCTATTCGCCGCGCCGCGAGCTCTAGGCACCCAACGCTGTCCAGCGCGCCTCTACCGTCGCCATACTTGGCAGATGAGAGGCGGTATCGCGCGGAGTCAGGCAGCGCGGAAAAGGAGCGCAAGAGCCTGGCACTGCAAGCTGAGGCCACGAGTGATGTGCGGGATGTTCTGGCGTCGCGGTCACAACGTGCTATTTCACAGCAAAAGGCCAGCAGTGAATTGGAACGCTTCGTGGCCACCCTGGCGTCAGCAGATTGCCGTTTCAGATCAGAGTTGACGCTCGGGTGTAGCAGTCGCATTTCTTTGTTTGACACCCGAATATGCACAGATCATCAGGGCAATGGGATTCAGGATTTGGAGCATCGCGTACGAACTTCCTTGCAAGCGTTGTCTAGATCGGGCTGCCAGTGGCAGTCAAGATTGCATCAGTTGTGCGTGTTCCTGAAGGCCCACGGCAGGTTGCCGACACAGGGCACGGTCGCCGACGAGGAAGAGCTCAGGCTAGCCAATTGGCTCAAACGGCAAGCCGGACTCTTCAGATCCCAGCGCCTGGCAGAGGACCGCGAGGCAGCCTTGAGGGGCGTCCACACTTTGGTCTGCAAGAGGTTGTCGGGAGAGCGGCACCAAGACTGGCAGTCCTGGCTTCAGCAGTTGGAGGAGTTCCTGGAGGCCCACGGCAGGCTGCCGACTAAAAGCAAGGTCGTCGACGAGGAAGAGTTCAGGCTAGCCCAGTGGCTCGAACGGCAAGCCAGATTCTTCAGATCCCAGCGCCTGGCAGAGGACCGCGAGGCAGCCCTGAAGGGCGTCCACACCTTGGTCTGCGAGAGGTTGTCGGGAGAGCGGCCGCAGCAGGACTGGCATTCTTGGCTGCAGCAGTTGGAGGAGTTCCTGGAGGCGCACGGCAGGTTGCCAACACACGGCAAGGTCGCCGACGAGAAAGAGCTAAGGATAGCCCAGTGGCTCAACGCGCAACTCTCACTCTTCGGATCCCAGCGCCTGGCAGAGGACCGCGAGGCAGCCTTGAGGGGCGTCCACACCTTGGTCTGCGAGAAGTTGTCGGGCGGGCGGCGGCAGAAGGACTGGGATTCTTGGCTGCAGGAGTTGGAGAAGTTCCTAGAGGTCCATGACAGGTTGCCGACACACGGCAAGGTCGCCGACGAGGAAGAGTTCAGGTTAGCCCAGTGGCTCGACAAGCAAGCCAGACTCTTCAGATCCCAGCGCCTGGCAGAGGACCGCAAGGCAGCCCTGAGGGGCGTCCACACCTTGGTCTGCGAGAAGTTATCGGGAGAGCGGCGGCAGCAGGACTGGCAGTGTTGGCTGCAGCAGTTGGAGGGGTTCCTGGAAGCGCACGGCAGGTTGCCGACACAGTGCAAGGTCGCCGACGAGGAAGAGTTCAGGCTAGCCCGGTGGCTCAAACGGCAAGCCGGATTCTGCAGATCCCAGCGCTTGGCAGAGGACCGCGAGGCAGCCTTGAGGGGCGTCCACACTTTGGTCTGCGAGAAGTTGTCGGGAAGGAGCAGTAAATATAAGTTGTCGCGAGCGTGGGGCAGGCCGCGATGACCACATCCCTCAGGAGGTCCACGGCCAGACCTGTCCTGATGCCGGTTGGCCAGAGAGCCGAAGTGGCGGCTCCAGCCGTGGCCACGAGGAGTCCCAGGAGGCCCGGGAAATCGAACGTCGAATTCAAAATAAAACACAAGGAATCCAGCGAAAGAATCTGGGAGACATTGGAAGGACCTGGAGGATCGAGATGGGTACGTACCAAAAGAATGGGCACGAAAACCGACAGCCGCTCTCGTCATGCAGACAAACGGGTTCTGAGTGAAACTAGACCTGAGGTTTTCCGCCGTTTTCGGGCCCCCGGGCCTTCCCAGGGCCTAGGGATTGTCAGAGGTCAGCTCAGGACCAAGAGCTGGTCTTGGGTGGAAGATCCTGGGGTCCAGAAGCCGTTTCCGTCAGGGCCCGCTTCCTCCATACCAAAGTTCTTGCCCATTCTGAACCGGATTCGCTGCCAGCGTCTCCGCAGACGTTGTCCGTTCGAGGCAGAAAGTCGTTTGCCCAACAGCGGCCGCTGACGGTGTTGGGCATGGGCGTGCCAAAAGGAGGGGGGTAGCATCGATCTAAGAGATCCGCGTGGACCTCCGAAAGTTTGTATTTCGGTCTTGTCTCGTTCGCCCATGCTTCCCTCTCTCTCTCTCTCTCTCTCCCTCTCTCCGAGGAAGGCGGATGCGCGTATGCACCGACCCCTCGGCCCAGGATGGACCTGGTGAGAATCGGTGCATAGCCCCCCCGCCGTCCGACGACGACGACGACGACGTCGACGACGACGAGGAGGCTGGAGGAGGGCGAGGAGGAGGGGGAGGACCAGGAGGAGGAGCACGACGAGGATGACGAGGAGGAGAAGGGCGGAGGAGGAGCGGGAGGAGGAGGGAGCTGCCGCCAGGGGGGGGGGGCCTGGAATCTCGCAACCTGCCGAGGCGGGCGCCGCGCCGCTCCCCAGACCGCGTGCCCTCGCCCGCCCCTCCTCCCTCCTCCCTCCTCCCTCCTCCCTCCTCCCTCCCTCCCTCCCTCCCTCCCCTCCCCTCCCTCCTCCCTCCCTCCTCCCTCCCTCCTCCCCTCCCCTCCCTCCCTCTCTCTCCTCCTCCCTCCTCCTCCTCCTCCTCCTCCTCCTCCTCCTCCTCTCCTCCTCCTCCTCCTCCTCCTCCTCCTCCTCCTCCTCTCCTCCTCCTCCTCCTCCTCCTCCTCCTCCTCCTCCTCCTCCTCCTCCTCCTCTCCTCCTCCTCCTCCTCCTCCTCCTCCTCCTCCTCCTCCTCCTCCTCCTCCTCCTCCTCCTCCTCTCCTCCTCCTCTCCTCCTCCTCCTCCTCCTCCTCCTCCTCCCTCCTCCTCCTCCTCCTCCCTCCTCCTCCCCCCCCTCCTTAGCCCGCGAGTGCCGCCGCCGGGGCGGCAGCCCCGGCGCGGGGTGGAGGCGCGCAGGCGCTCGGATCGGACCGCACGTCGGGCAACTGGGACATGGACATTGCCGGTGGCGGAGGAGGAGGAGGAGGAGAGGAGGAGGAGGAGGAGGAGGAGGAGGAGGAGGAGAGGAGGAGGAGGAGGAGAGGAGGAGGAGGAGGAGGAGGAGGAGGAGGAGGAGGAGGAGGAGGGAGGAGGAGGAGGAGGAGGAGGAGAGGAGGAGGAGGAGGAGGAGGAGAGAGGAGGAGGAGGAGGAGGAGGAGGAGGAGGAGGAGGAGGAGGAGGGGAGAGGAGGAGGAGGAGGAGGAGGAGGAGGAGGAGGAGGAGGGAGGAGGAGGAGGAGGAGGAGGAGGAGGAGGAGGAGGAGGAGGGAGGAGGAGGAGGAGGAGGAGGAGGAGGAGGAGGAGGAGGAGAGGAGGAGGAGGAGGAGGAGGAGGAGGAGGAGGAGGAGGAGGAGGAGTGAGGAGGAGGAGGAGGAGGAGGAGGGAGGAGGAGGAGGAGGAGGAGGAGGAGGAGGAGGAGGAGGAGGAGGAGCAGGCTGTTCCTCAGTCCCAGGACTCTCTTGAGGGTTAGGGGAGGGCGTCGGGGCGGTGTGGCGTATGCTGGTTGTTCCGCTGCCCAGGAGCCAGCGAAGAATGTATACACCGGGGTCCCGTATACACCAGGGTCCGCCTTCTTGTGCGAATTTCGGTGCAGGGCCGGAACAAGCGTCGGTGTATAGAGTTCGGTTCCCCAACATGGGGGGGCAGGGAAAGGAGGGAGGGGGGAGATCTGCCGCGTGCCGCTGGCTTCGGCTCCGCCGCGGCCGTCGTCCTCCCTGTGCCTCGGCGCCTCCGGCGCCGGGAGAGCCGGCTACGCCAGCCGAGTCGCTGACCCCCCCGTTGCTACACCCCCCTTCCTCCGTCCCAGGCGGGCCAGACAGCCCGCGCCCCAGATAGTCCGCCTCTCCGGGCGGCCCGCCCCCCCCCTCCAGATAGCCCGCCCCCCCCTCCAGGTGAGCCGCCTCCCCAGATGGCCCGCCCCCCTGGGCGGATGTCTGGGGGAGGCGGACAGCCCGGCTCCCCAGGCACAGGCTTCGGAAGAGGCTAGCGAACACGCATGCCACATTCGTCGGTCAACGCCTCCCCCTCCCCCCAATGCTCAAAGTTGGCGGTGGCTCTGATGAATTTTTGACGCTTCGCGAATCTCCACCAGCAGGATTGCCAGACGAAGATCGAGCTGTTTCCATAGAGGGAGGCAACGCAATCCCCCCGCCTGTGGTGACAGAAGACCCTCCACAGGCCCACGCGGAAAGTGCTACCACTGAGGAGTCGACCTGCCCCATGCACACTCACATCGCCGACCCCTCCCTCCCCTCCTTCAATTTACCTGATCTTGCGGCTATCGGCTGCGCCTCCTCCTCTCCTCCTCCTCCTCCTCCTCCTCCTCCTCCTCCTCCTCCTCCTCCTCCTCCTCCTCCTTCTGCGCAGGGCACTCCCGCAGCAGGACATGGGCACAACCCACATCTTGGCACAGGCGAAGCCGACGCCGACGCCGAAGCCGACGACGACGCCGACGCCGACGCCGACGACGCCGACGCCGACGTCAACGACGTAGACGCCGACAACGACGTGGTTGTGCCATGTTCCCCCCGCGCCGTGCAAGGAGAGCATCACCAGGCTGAGGCTGAGGCAGACGACTCGGGCCACTGTACGCGGACGCACAGTACTGCGCAGGGCACTTCTTACTGCAGGACATGGGCACAACTCCCATCCTGGCACAGGCCTCCCCATTGTGAGCAGTTCCCCCCGCATCGCGCCAGCCTGGCGGCCAACCTTGAGGCCTGCATTTCCCCACAAAGTCCTGCCAGGCGTGCAGCTGGAGCTGTCGCGAGCAGATCGCGAGCCCCCCAGCCAGGGCAGCGAGGCCCTTGCGGTGGAAACTTGCGGCCAGGACACACGGCCACACCAGAGGCCCGACCCGCGGCAATGGCCAGAGCCCAAAGACCCCCACACGGGGCAGCAGCTGTACAAAACAGGAATCAACAACATCCAATGGGACCTCCCCGGGGAGACGCCCGGCGAAGCGATACGACGATTCCAAGTCACACTAGGATCGATGTTCACTGGCACCTGGCACGCTATCGCCAAGCGGCAGTCTGTGCCCGGCAGCAAGGGCGCGCTCGACCCGCTTCGGCACGACCCGCAAACCTGGCACTTCTTCCTGGAGTCCTTCCGCAGCCACAAGTACGACGTACGGGTCCTCAGCGACGCGCTGGGCCTCAACGTCGACTGGACCCGGCAGTGGCAGCTGCACCTGGGTCGGCGGCGCCCGGCTCACTTGGCACTGTCCCCCCCAACGGGCTGACACCCTTCTCTCACACTTGGTCCTCTTGTCCCACTCTTGCTTCGCTCTCTGTTGGGTTCTCTTTTTCCCCCCTCTGTCCAATACTCGCGTCTGGCGGGCACCTCCCCCCCATCAGGTGAACCACTCTTGCAACACGCTGGTGGGTCCTCTATGGTCACTGCCGCGGGATTACCATATGCCAGTCGGGCTGTAGTGCACCACTCTTGGAACGCTCGGTTGGGCCTTCTGCGTGGCGGGCACCTTCCCCCCTTCGGGCACTCTTGCAACACGCTGTTGGGTCCTCTAGACCACGAGCACGACCGCGACGTCGACCCTGACGGCGACCACAAACGACAGACGACCATATTCCGACCTGTCGCACTTACGACCCCCCCTCCAACAGTGCAACAGGCCAGAGGATCGGAGCGGAATGTCACAGCGGAAGCGGCGGAGGCTGCGGAAGCCGCGGAGCATCCCCTTCTGGACAGTCAGTCCGTCAGCAGTCCTCTGGCTGAGCCACACTCACAGCAGGGAGATCACTGCGGGTTGTCCCTCTACCTTTTCCGCACTTCCACAATGCTGGCCGCGGTCCGGTGGAGTCGTTCCTCCCCGCCGGGCGGGCACCTTCCCCCCTGCAAGTGCACCACTCTTGCAACACTCCGTTGGGTCCTCTGCGTGGCGGGCACCTTCCCCCCATCAGGTGAACCACTCTTGCAACACGCTGGTGGGTCCTCTTGACGACGACGACGACGACCACGACCACGTGCACGACACGATGTCGACCTTGACGGCAACGACAGACGACCACACTCCGACCAGTCACACTAACGACTCCCCCCTCCAACAGTGACAACAGGCCAGAAGAAAGGTGCGGGAAGTCACGGCGGAAGCGACGGGGGCTGCGGAAACCGCGGAGCATCCCCTCTGGACAATCCGTCCGTCAGCCGTCCTCTGACTGAGCCACACTCACAGCAGGGAGACCACGGGACAGCCATCCAGACACAGGACAACGCAGCCATTCGCCGGCCCTTACTGAGGCCCATACGGGAGAACAGCCACTGATGACGCCGCAGTCCTGCACAAGTGGTACATCCTTTGGCAGGTTCCTCCTTCCCACGGCGGGCCCGGCCCACTGCTGTGAAGGTTGTCCCCCCAGCTCCTGCGACGGAGAACGGTCACCCGTGGCCGCGGCTTGGTGCGCACACGCGCGCCTACCCGCTTCCACCACCACCTGCGGTTGGGCCCAGGCAAGGCACACTCCTGCACAAGCGGTTCATTCTTTGGCAGGCCCAGCCTTTCCACGACGGGCCCGTCCCGCTGCATGACGCCGACGACCTTCCCCGCAGACACGCCCCTGGCAACGCTCTGTTGGGTCCTTGGCAATCTGTGTCGCCTGGCCCACC